GAAGTATTTTCTTGCTATTTTTCATCTCCCTGGCTTGAGTGAGTGTGTGTCGTGAGGCTGCAGAGATTTATATTCACAGCTTCTAAGCACCAGTGCTTGTTCAGAGGCTGTATTCTAGTCCTTTTTATTCACTCACCTTCTAAAGATGTAGTGTAAATATTTATCTTCCCTCTGGCCCATCCATGCTGCCCAGGACCTAGCGCTGTTAAACACTCTTATCACCTCATCGGTCTTATCTCCTGCTATCCCTGCCAACATTTGGAGTCTGTCAATGGGAATGAGCGTGCACCTTAAAGGGGGCCACAAATGAAGAGAAAGAAGAGGTGATGTGGGGAAAAGAATACCTTGAAATAAAGAGTGCATGTGCTATCCCTCAAAAGGCAGAGGTTAGTGTATATGTTTCCTGCTGTGCTTTTCATACTCACAGTGTCTCTGCCTGGAGACGCGATTGAAGGCGCAGAGATGGGGTTTCGGTGTGGACCAGCACTCAAGGAGGTGTGGGGGTCCTGTGCAGACCCTCACAGCTGGTGTGGACAGCTGTCCATCCCCAGCTCCAGCACCGATACGGGGTCTAGGTGAACCAAAGATCACCAAGGTAACCAGCACAGTTTTGTATTTCCTCTTTCTGTACTTGGGCTTCATAAAACACATTAGATGAAGAGTCAGTGTCTCCCTTACGGTCGCCCGCCTGCTCACAGGTTTCTGCATGCAGCTTGAAGAGTGAGTAAGGCAAGTTTGGAAGGTGAATGTTGATATAATAATGTTTTAAAAACTGTCTTGTGAAACCAGTACAGTCAAACACTGGCACATCAAGGTCTGCTTGCCATGGCAGGGCGGTGGGAATCATGTTTTATAGCGTGTGCAGGATCTCAGCAGTGCTCAGCCAAGCCATTTCCATTTCTCTGCCCCTCAGTCCTGAAACCTCGTGTTAGGTTAAGCAGGGTACAGAAATTCCCAAGGAATGAACATGGGATGGCAACACCAATATAATCCTATCACTTATAAGACAAAATTGATGTGCAGTAGCCATAGTACCACTTAACGGATAAGACAGTTGGTCCATCTGCGCTCGGTCCATCTTTTCTCATTTCTCTTGCTTAAATTTCTCAGGAGCAGAACACAATCCTGTTATCCAATAAGTTACCCACTGGTAGTTGGATTTTCATTGAGTGACATCTGTCACAGACCATGAACGTAGGAGGTACTGGTGGTTTTGTAGCGTCTTTGTTTCAATGGTTTTGGTAGACTTGGATATTCGGTTTTATTTTTGAAGTCTTTGGAAATGCTCTTGTCTCTCTTGAAGTCCATGGAGCTTGGCTGTCATCCTGGCATGGCCAGATGTGCCAGGAGGCTATAAAAGGCACCAGGGATGGAAGGCAAGAAGAAAGCTTGAAATTGATCTGTTGTTGGTTGGTAACTCACATGTGTGGGGCTGAGCGTTCTTGCATTTGAGTGTGTAATGGTCTTTCTTTCATTTCTGGTTGTCTTCTGACTGTCTGTATGGGCTCTGCCATTTCCACAAACTCCTCCATTTTATAGACAGGGTATTGCTAAAAGGGCTCTGGGACAGGTACCCACCAGTGCCTTGCAAGCTGAAAGCAAAGCTGTAAAGAGACACTGATTTGAACCTGGCCTTTTCCCCGTTTTGTGTTGAAGTTCACCAAATCAGAGCACTGATTGCCCCCTTAACCTGTCGCACTGACATTATTCCAGCTGATGCGTGATGTTGAAAGGGCATTTCTGAGAGGCATCTTGGCATAGAGCAGAGCTCGGCGTTGGCCCTGGAGCTGCCCGTGTGTCTTCTCTTGTGCTCCCTGGCACCAGCTCCCCTACTCAACACCTTTGCTTTGTGCTCCTCTCGCTCTACAGAAGATCCTACTGGGGAAAAAAATAGTCTTAATTTCTTGTAACGTGCCTTAGCACAGAAGTGATAACGCGCCGTGATTACCTAATTCTCCGTAGGCACATTTTTGAAATAACTTGTAACAGTATTCAGGTTTTTACCTTACAGATTTATCAAATGATTGGTTTCAGTGTGTGTTGACAGACTCCGGGTCTTGTTGTACTTGCAGCTCTGTGTGATTTACATTTATGTAATCTGAAAACTAAATTGGAGGAAGAAGTAGTAAACAATCACAACAAACACCCTCCTCCGGCTCAGTGCTTTGTATAAAATAAACCAACGAAAATCCTGATGGTTTTCAAATGGGGAAAAATTAGCTGCCCCAGCTTGTAAGCCAGATGAACAGAGGGGTCCAACTGATGACTGCTGGCATCTCTGCAGAGATTTGTTCAGGATGCCCTGCTCCTGGCTGGTGCTGGCAATCCTGGGCTGGGAGGTGACATTTACCAGTGCTCTGGGCAGGGCACAATGAGGTGAGGGCAGAGGCTGTGTCAGGCTGTCCCTGTCCCTGTACACTCACCATTTGGGGCCATTTGTCCCAACAGTGGCACATCCTTGGAGAAGGACACCACACCTTCCCTAGGATGCTCCAGAAACCACTGCTTTCTGTCACACTTCAGGAAATATCCCTTGCATCAAGGCCAGCTGCGGTTCATCTTAAGACCGCTTCTGCGCGTCTTGTTTTGTTGTAAAACGAACACTTCCAGCGCCTGGTAGGCAGTATTCATCTCACGTAATTGCCACAATGGGAGCTGTAATCCCCACTTTCACGGCTTGTCTTCGATTAGTTTCCAGGTGTGACCGTTTTGCACCGAAGGCTCCGTGATGCCGTACCTGGAGCCAAGCGCGGTGCGCAGAGCAGCTGGGCGCGTCGGGCTCCGATTAGCCACGGTGCTCTGAAAAGCCAAATGAAAGAGGGATTGAGATCAGCAGCCTCCAGAGGGCATTTCAAGGCCCTTAGTGAGTGACCACACTAGGGCTTTTTCCATTTACCTGGATTAAAATTTGTCACAGAGAAAATACAAGCAAATAGCATAGCATCGGAGAAGTATAACAAATAGCATTTGGCCAGCCATCAGGCTCAAAGGGGAAAAAAAAAAATCCACGGTGTAAATAAAGTGTAAACAATGTTTGCATAACATTGGATTAATAGTTATTTTTAAAAACCACACTGGGATTAAAGAGAAGCATTTCGTATGCTGGGACTCGCACTCTCTTCTTAGCCCAATAAATGCCAGAAAGTGCATCTAAGAGAAATAAAAAGCCTCGTTAGCCAGAAGCCGTGCTGCTGAAGCAGCAGTGCTTTCTGCAGGCCTTTGGAAGATGAGCAAATGGCTGTAGTGTTCCTGGATGTACTTTATAAGGAGTTTGGTGGCAAACCATTCCCATTTCCAGTCCCATTCACCTGCGGGTTTTGTCAGCCACGATTTTGAAGGCGGCGATGAGGAGGTGAGCTGGGTTCCCATCCCCCAGCACACACACAACCTGCAGATTTGAAAGCCTGCCTTCCCAATAACTCATTCGTAGCACTCCTGCCTCTTCTTCTCCAGCCCTGCTCCACATTTTGCTGAAGTCAGTACTGGCCCTGTCACTCCTCCAAGAAGGCATGTGCTTAAGGACCGCTCGGGGGCTCTGGCTCAGATCCGTTACCTTATTAGCGTGGAATAATCAATGGATGCTGTCTTTGATTCCTTCAGTTCCTTGGTTTGTGGTGTCTTCTAGTTGACACCCATTTGCGTTACACTCGCCACAAATTGGTGTCCTGAAATGAGGTGCCTCCAGACGTTGGTGTGAGTGCCACAAATGGGGCATGTGGAAGGAAAAATCTCACCCTCCACATTTCCCCAGCAAAGATGTGAAATGGATGTTCAGGCAGCAGATGCCTGTTACAGGTGGCTTTTCTCTTTTGTCCCTGTCGCTCCTCTGGCTGTCGTGTTGGTGTGGTGTCCCAGAGCAAAACATGGCACCTCCCACCCTGAAGCACAAGTCATTGCTAGTTCCTCAGCTGAACAGGGTTAATATAAAACGGAATAACAGGCTGGGAAACCAGAAATCTCAAAACAGCTACAGGTGGGATTTCTACCTGGTTTTCTGTTCTTCTTTTCCCTTTCGCCTGCTCCAGAGTCCGCAGCAGACTGTAGAATTTGCACCTTAATCCCAAAGATAATGGTAATTAAAAACTTAAGTCTCCATAAACAGATGCAAATAAATTAAAGAGGCAAAGAACTGAATTAGGGGCTAATCCTGGTGGGGTAGTGAAAGCGAAGGGGCCAATAATTCTTTCCTTCTGTTATTTCACCTGTTCTCGTGGCAGGACGGGGCCGTGGCACGGTGAGGTGCCTGGGTTTGCACCGCTGGACGTGCCACACGAGCACCAGCAAAGCCCTGCCCGTGGTGTACATGTTGGCTGGAGGAGGGAGCTGTGTGCCAGCAGCTTCAAATCACACACTTTGCTTTGCCCTTGTGCTGTGTGTTTCACAAGGATGAGTGCAGGAACCGTCTCCCATTCCCAAGCGCTCTGTGTAACCCCTTTCCTCACCCTCATCCCTTCAGGGATGGGTCCACTTTTGTCCAGACCTGAATTCTGAAGGGTGAGGACCTAAGATTTATTCAGTTGGAAGAAAAGTGGGGTTTTCCCCTGTGGGCTCTCCTGTGCTGAAGAGTGCAGGGCACGGAGCTGTGCCAGCATCCCGGTGGCTTTACTCTTCTCTCAAGAGCTGGCCGAGGCTGGGCTTGCACAGGAGCATCTTGCACTAAAGTATCAGGATTAGCGAGGGTCCCAAAGTAAGGCCATAGGACTGAAATCCTTCATTTTTATGGGCTGGAAGTGATAACGCTGTGAACTGAATTATACTCATGTCATGACGTGATCCACGCACTCTTATGGGGGGATAGATATTGATTATCCATCAATATGGATTGATGGTGGATGATGATTCAAAGCCTAACTGCCAGGTAGCTGGGTGTCCTGGGCTGTTTATCTAGTCAATTAAATATTGCTGGGATTGAGCTGATTTATTTAAAACTGGGATTTTCTTGTATCCCCACGACGTTACCTGTGTCTCTAAAATCAAGTCTCTCTCACTCTCTTTTTCAGGACGGGGAAGGCCAGACCGCGCTCCATTACGGTAAGCTGCCTTTTAGCTTGGTTGTTCCCTCTTAACAGAATGGATTTGCAGCTGGAGTAAATGGAGCAAATTTCAGTACAAATGTGAGCAGGGAAGCTGGATTTGATTAACCAGTGGCTATCTCCACTGGCACATCCCAGCCTGGTATGAATAGGAGCCCTCGGAGAAGCAGCGAGGAAGACTGCTGTCCTCCTTTCGTCTCCTCTGCAAATTTCCCCTTAGAGCTTTCCTTTTCCCCCAGTAGATGATGTGCTTTCTTTAGAGTTTGTCTTGTGCACCTCTGTGTCTCCAAGATGTGGTTCTGCCACCTCCAGACCCAGGAGTGGCCCTGGCAAGGGGATGCTGAGGTTGAGAGGGGGGTCTGTCATGGTGACAAACCTGTTTGATCGTAGCCCAGAGAGCAGCAGCTTCTCTACTACCAAAACCAGCAGAGCAAAGTTACAGTTTGTGTCCCTCCTACAATTACATGCTAATTAGGTATGAGATTTTGTAGCAATCCTTTTAATTGAAAGATTTTTCTGTCTCCAAATGAGAAAAGTAGAGACTACAGAGACACATGCAGTGCTGATGTGTGGGGAATAGGAAAAAAAAGTATCGATTTTATCTATATCATAATTTTTTTCAAAATTAAGACATACTGGTTCTTATTTCATACTCTCTCTCGATGCCTGCCACTGTCTAATTAAGAGCATACTTGTCATTCTGAAGTGTTTGTGCCTTTTTCTCTCTTTCTGATCTCTCCACAAGGACATCAGCAGGATGGCAAAATTGCTTTGCAGACCATCATTCCGTTTGGATCTGGATCTAAACTCCCAGATTTCAGGGCCCCTGAACTGAGTCTGTAATTACAATAACGTATGACTTCTCCCCATGTCATCTTTCCTGTAGGATGCTTTATTTTTCAAGCTCTTATCCTTCTGACTGAAGTAGCAAATCTGTTGCTGTCTGCGGAACAGCAGCACTCGATGTCACGTTGCCTCTTTCTTTGCCCAGCTCATTCCACATTTTTGGGCTTTCTCTCCCCTGCTCTGCCTGCCCAGAGGTGCACAGTGGATTTTAGTAGGTCGTGCAAAAGCATAGCATAAGTTATCCAAGAGCACCTGCTTCGAGCCAGCTCAGTATGTGAAAGTAGAGGGTGGCTGCATCACCTCAATGTAAATTATTTGCAGGTGGAGCCCTGTGGCTGGCGGCTGAAGCAGGTTTTTTAACACAAGCAAACAAACATCGCTGATTTAGTTAATGTTATTTCAGAAATGATTTCTCTGATCCACCCTGCCAGCTCAGATGTTTCAATAATGACAGTTTTGCAGGCTTTTTCTCTGCATTTTTTGAGTCTAAAGAGGTTTTTTCCTTCTCCTTGACTATTATCCCACCTCCCTTCCCTGTAGGTTATCTTTGGGGACACCTCTCTGGGTCACTGGCACACGGGTCCGGCGTGCCCACAGGGGCCCCGCTGTCCCTGGCTGACCATGGCTGCACCCAGACTGTCCTCGTTCCCTTACTTAGCTGATCTGGTCATAAATCACCCCCATCGTGAAAACAGCTTGTTAAAACGAGCGAATGGTTTTTATTCAAGTGGCTATTGGCCTGAAACTGGAACTCACAGAAAATCTCCTCGGTAAGCACTTCGTAACCGAGCCGTTAATTGCGGTGGGGAGGCATGAGAGTATGAAAACTGCTCTCTGGCAGCGCTGAGCAGAGCAGTGCCTCTGCAAGGCCTGCCCTTTTGTTAGAGGCTGTTCAGGGAAAGGGTTAAAATCCCCATGAGCAAGGCCAGTGAGGCAGCCACCGCTTTTAGGGTGTCTCTCCATCCCTTTTTATGAGCCCGGCGTGGCCTGACAGCTGTCCTTGTGGTGACAGCTCTCCTGATTACAGCCGGTGTCGAACTGCATCCTGCTGCGGGTTATAAATCCTGCCTCCTTCCGATGGGCGCCGACCCCGGCTTTAATCGGAGGTTAAGTGGAGGCCAGCTGGCAGCCTGGTCCCAAAGCACCAGCTCACTGGTGGGACCTGCTGCAGGACCTGCTCTCCTCCGGGCTGGAGGCAACACTCGGTGCCAGTTTATAGAATCATAGAGTCATAGAATTGCCCAGGCCGGAAGGGACCTCCTAAGGTCATCTAGTCCGACCTCCCTGCAGTCAGCAGGGACACCCCCAACTAGACCAGGTTGTCCAGGGCCTCGTCGAGCCTCTCCTTGAATATCTCCAGGGATGGGGCCTCAACCACCTCCCTGGGCAACCTGTTCCAGTGCTCCACCACCCTCACAGTGAAGAACCCTCTCCTAAGCTCCAGTCTAAATCTGTTCCCCTCCAGCTTGAAGCCATTGCCCCTCTTCCTGTCACTGCAGGCCTTTCTAAACAGGCTCTCCCCAGCCTTCCTGTAGGCCCCTTCAGGTACTGGAAGGCTGCTATTAGGTCTCCCCGGAGCCTCCTCTTCTCCAGGCTGAACAACCCCAGCTCCCTCAGCCTGTCCTCGTAGCAGAGGTGCTCCATCCCCCTGATCATCCTTGTGGCCCTCCTCTGGACCCTCTCCATCAGGTCCATGTCCTTCTTATATTGAGGGCTCCAGACCTGCACACAATACTCCAGTTTGATGGGTATGAGCACGGTCTCCCCCCTAAACGGCCCGTTACCTTTCAGCTCCTCTCCATCCATCCATCCATCCGCCCGCCCGCTGGGAATACTAAAATCATTGCCTCTGCCTCTCCCAGAGGAAATCAAGGCTTCTCCAAGCACTGGTGGCCACGTGGCCGCGGGGTGGGCAGGCTCTGTATCCTCATGGGCGCTCCGGCTTCCCTGCAAAGCACCATCTGTTCGGCTCTTTTCTGTGCTGTGGCAGGGCAGTGGGAGGGGAAGGCTGGCGGGAAAATAAATAATAAAAAAAAAAAAAAAAAGGAAGAAAGAAAGAAAGAAATTCATCATCTGAACCCTGAGGATTAATGGAGTCGGAAGGCGAACTGCGCTGAATGGAAATCCATCTTCACCCGTGCCAGTGTCAGGGCTGCCGCTCCGGCCCTTGACAAATCGAGGGTCCCAGGGTGCAATAAATCCAGCAACTCTGCTCATCCCCCGGGGATGTCCCTGGCCCACTCGGGGACACAGGCCATGCCTGCCACCTTCCCCCATGTGGGCAGCAGCTCCCCATCCCCAGGAGCTGCCACTATAGCACCCCTGGAAGTCTGCTCTCTGCAGAAAAAAAAAAAAAGGAAGAAAGAAAGAAAGAAATTCATCATCTGAACCCTGAGGATTAATGGAGTCGGAAGGCGAACTGCGCTGAATGGAAATCCATCTTCACCCGTGCCAGTGTCAGGGCTGCCGCTCCGGCCCTTGACAAATCGAGGGTCCCAGGGTGCAATAAATCCAGCAACTGTGCTCGTCCCCCGGGGATGTCCCTGGCCCACTCGGGGACACAGGCCATGCCTGCCACCTTCCCCCATGTGGGCAGCAGCTCCCCATCCCCAGGAGCTGCCACTATAGCACCCCTGGAAGTCTGCTCTCTGCAGAAGATGTTGTGCCATCACCCCAAGATGTGCCTCCCAGCCCTTCAGCTCAGCCTTACCCACACCCCCACCTACTTCCTCCCCAACCCGGTACCCCTTCTTTTTTTTCCTCTTTTTTTAAATCTTTTTCAGTATAAGATCCAATCACGTCAAATTTATTTTAATTAAACATCGCTGCTTGTCCCTTTGGGTCAGTAGAAAACTGCAGAGTAATGCAAAAAGACACTCTAATTACTACATTTAATGGCAAAAAAAAAAAAAAAAGAGTTAGTTGGTTATGTTGTAAAAGCGCCTGAAATATAATTGAAACCAATTGCTACCAATGTGAGAGGAAGCAGCCTCTTCGTGGTACCGTAAGGCAGGTCAGGGCTGAGGCAGTTTTTGGCTTCACTGAGATCTGCGTCGTGTGGGCTTAGGGGAAAATCCAGGCACTGGGACTTCTGGTGCCATCAGCCAAGCCCAGCTCTTCAGTCTTAAGAATTTTCCTGGTTCTTTTGGTTGGGTTTATTCATTTATTTATTTATTTATTTAACATCCTTAGGCAAGGTTGGGGAGGGAGCTGCAAGCTGCCAGGCTGTCCTCGGGGTAGGGAAGAGCTCAGGTCAAACTTGATTCTATCTTGGCCAAGCAGATCAGGGTTGAAAACATCATTGCTAGCGGATACATGGGATGGAAATAAGAGTGGTGTGTTGTTACCAGCTCCCCGTGGGCACAGGCCTGTGCCCTTGGAGCTGGTGCTCAGGGAACATCCAGCCAGCAGCTAAAACATCCAAATTTTCTGCAAGGAGCAATGTTGGATGAAATCAGGGAGCGAGGCAGTACTGACTGGGATGTGCTGCCTGTGGAGCCCTGGGAGGGAGGTTCAGGAGGCAGGTGAGGGGCAGGTGTTTATAAATACGTTATAAATTATAAATACATTCTAAATTCTGGGTACAAAAGCAGTCAGGGGAGGCTTTGCCAGGCGGTGTTTTGGGGCTCTCTGTGGTGCTGTAGTAGCCCTTCCCAGGGTTTGTCTCCAGTCCTGGAAGTGAAGGAGCAGTAGCCAAATTGCACCCAGGCACCCTGTGCATCCTCCCAGGTGCAAATCAGCCGGGCTCTGGGGCCGTGGCTGCACCAGCAACACCCTCTCAGGGACTTCTGCCTTTTCACTGCTTTCTCTCTGTCTTTTCTCTTTCCCTTGCACTGTTAAATCCAAAGGCAAGCAATACACTGAGTACCGAACGCTGCCCCCAAAGATGCTCTTCTCCTCCTGGCCAGGTGCTGAGACGGCATTCCCTGCCTCTGGCACACGGCTGGGAGATCGCCAGCTACGGCCCCGCTCCAAAAACGCCCATCACCGTCCCCTCGGGTCAGGATCCCCAGGTCTGACCCTTCCCTTTCTCCCTCCAGCTGCCGCCTGCGAGTTTTTGGATATCGTGGAGCTGTTGCTGAAATCGGGAGCCGACCCCACGCTCCGGGACCAAGAGGGCTGCCTTCCAGAGGAGGTGACAGACTGTAAAGCCATCTCCTCGGCTCTGCAGCAGCACACTGCTGGCAAGACCTAACCCCAGGGGAGGACACAGACACTCCGCAATAACACCCCTTCTCTTCCCCTCTTGTCCCAAAACGCCTTGTGTTGGTGGGGGGGGTCCAAAGGGGAGCTTTTAGAACACAGGGTGAGGGTGGGCTCTCCAGCAGGAGGGCTGGCCGGCCGAGCACCTCTCCTGGGCAGGACGGGATCAGGGTTTTGCATGCTCTGACATTTATCAGTATTTTTTGGGCGGGGGGGAGGGAGTGAGGGCCTGGAGAAGGCCCCGAGTATGGGTTTAACGTATTAAATACAAATACTGTATCAGATGTCTCACCAGAGCAGCCTGTGCTGACCCGTCGGCTCCTCCGTGGGGAGGGGAGGGCAGCTGGGCCAGGTGAGATGCTCGGCTTTCCTCTTCGGGTTGAGTTTTGGTTTTTTGTGGGTTTTTTTTTCCCTCTGGGTCCAAACAAAATATTATAAATAAAAGCACAGTGTTGGGATGGAGCCTCTGTGCGTTTTTCTTGCAGGGAGTGATTTCGTTCCTTGGAAGCAATGAGGATGGGAGGCAGCTCAGGGCTGTCGTAGCCCCTGGAAAGTTCTGCTCCAGCTCTAGGCCTGGGGAGAGAGGGCTACAAAAGGCAGGGAGATTGTACAGCTGTCTGTCCCTCTCCTTCTCACCTAACACACATAAGACAAGTGCTTTATGGCTAACTCACCACTCCAAGCTGACAGGACTTTTACCCCGTCTCACAACAGGTTTGCTGAATTAAGCATCATTAAAACCCCACCTCCATCAGCAGCTCCAGGTGCTCCTATCACATGCTGGTCCCCAGGTAGCTTGTTCAGGGCTGGGGTGTTGTAAGAGCCTGGCATGGACATAAACCTATCACCCCTCTGAGCCTGTCGTGGACACTTCATGATCCTCTCAGCTGGCCAAATACCCAGAAAAATTTGTGGTGGTACCTCGGAGTGAGGTGGGATGGGTGGGGTGTTTTCTGCACCTTCAGATGGTTCCCTGCTGGGCTGTGCAGGTGGGTTGGCCATGGTCCACGGGAGCTGCTGGATGGGTTTGTGCTTTGGGCTAACTCCTGGCTGGTGGGGAGGCTGCGGCATTGGGTGGATGTCCCCGGCAAGAGGAGATCATGGCTTCCCTGTGGGGTGTTGTCATGCTGCTTGCTTTTCTCCAGAGAAGGAGATTTACAGCCAGGGGGAGGGGGGCATAGAGTCTCATAGAATTGTCTAGGTTGGAAGAGACCTATAAGATCATCTAGTCCAACCATCAACCTCACTCTGATTAAAAAAAAAACCCATCACTAAACCGTGTCACTGAGGCGTAGGAGACCTCCGTCACCGTGACGGGAAGCTACGTGCCATCGAGTCCTTTCTGCAGCACATCCAGCCTCAGGAAAATAAATGGGAATGTTCCCTCCACTAAGGACTGGCCGGGCTGGAGGCACACATGCATTTTGGCCCCTCGTGGTGGCTGCTGGCTCCTGCCAGCTTTTGCTAATGCTGACGAAGTTTGCTGCACTGGCTTGAACCCCGCCAGTAGCCAAAGCACCACCACGGCGTGGCTGAAACGTGCCAGGCACGGGGCGGGCTCAGTGGTGGGGGTGAAATGGCTTGGGCAAGTTAATGGGCTACAAAGGCCCTTAGATTGGGCACGTCAGCTTATTTTCCATTAGCTTAATATTGGAGGGGTCTGATAGGCTGTGGAGCTGCAGTGATGGGGGGGGC